AGTTGGTAGACATGTCCATTGTTTTCACTTTTGGGCTTTCCTGAATAGTGCAGCTGTGAACATTCCTGTGTAACTTTTCGCGTGGACATTCGTTTTCATTTCTCTTGGGCCTATACCTAGGAGTGGAATTGCAAGGTCATACGGTAACTCCACGTTTAACTTTCTGAGGAACTGTCAGAGGCATGTCTTATATTGCTTTTTCCAACTTTGTATTCTGGAAATTTCCTGTTACTGGAAACAGAGAAACCACTGTGACAAGCACCCCATACTCATCATCCAGGTTCAACAATTATCAACTTTTTGTCAGTCTTGATTCTTCAGCCTGTCCTTCTCCCCTTTGTTTCCCTGCTAAGGAGTTGGAAGCCAGTTTAAACACCTCATTTTATGTTGTTAACTTGGCTAAAATGTCTTTCGCCTCAAACCCTCCGTTCGGGTCTCCTACACCCACATCCTTGTGTGGATAATTTGGGGAGAACGGAGGAATCAAAAACAGTCTCCAGTGGATCCGTGTGGGGTGGAAGAGGAATGGCTTCTGAGTAAAACAGGACTGGTGACATCATTTGCAAAATGAAAATGTGGAGCCCTTTATTCAAAAACTAATAATGTGTTTAAAATGACAAGAGCAGAGCATAAAACCAAACGCTGGCCCTGTGCAACTGTTCAGGCCACATGCCCATGAGACCAGCAAAAGGCTGCCCAAGCAGAACTGATTCATTGGACACAGGAATTTAGAGCCTTTGGTGCCTGGGAGAGACATCGTACCCGTCACCCCCAATCCCTGGAAAAGTTCCAAGGAAAGTTGGGTCTCCCCTGGTATGTGGGACAGGGTTCAAACCTATTGCATTTGAGTCTCCAAAAAATTAGATGACCCCAGCTGACATGTGGGTTATAAGCACTTTAAAAAAAATAGCCGCTTGTCTTAAGCCTTCTTCCCTAAGAGCCCACAGTTGTTTGACTTGGCCACACCATTGTGTCCTGGACTCGGAGTGTACTCTGATATCGCAGCAAATAATAGGCCTGCAGTCTTCACCACAGAGGCCCGCTGGTCAGCAAACAACCCGGAGCTACGGGGGGACCAGAAATGCCCGTTAGAGGCAGGTGGCCTGGCAGACATTGGCAACCAGGCATGGCACCCAACCCCTCCCAGCTCAGACACAGCTCCATTATCCTTCTCAAAGAGTAGCCTCTACCCACCCATTGGACCTTAGTTCCTGCACTTATCTAGATTCTCAGCCCAAGAAGGCAGAAGCTCCCAGCCTTTAGTGCACCCAAGGCTGCACTTATACTAACAACCTTGTCACGACTGGGAAGAGGGAGGGGAGAACAGAGAAGGAGGTTGCAGCTCCTCCTCTTCTCTAGGACACTCAATGAATGTTCATTCATTCCATCAGTGATTTGAGTACCGACTACACATAAGGGACTGTGTACTGGGTAGGAGCAGTGTAGTAACCAAGACAGGCACAGTTCCTCCCCAGAGAGGCAGGAGAGGCCCTCGTAAACCAAAGATGAACAAAACATTGTAAGTGCGATTAAAATAATTACATAACAATAACAAAAGCAACCACAACAATCAGGTCTGAGTACATTCTGGCAGCTCTGGGGTTTATAGAAGCCAGCGCGATTCTTAAAGCAAAGCCCCGCGGAGAGTGACAGCAGCACCGCCAGGAGAAGGCCACAGAGGTAGGTGGTTCTGTTTTCGCTTTTGCTTTTTTCCTGCCAGCACTTTCTCTCCCACTTCCTGTAACAGATGTGACATCCCGTGGGAATGGCGGGAGAAGGCCTGGGCACACCCATCCCTCCGCTACAGTCAGGGTCCAGGTGTGGACACCGGACCCAATACCACTAATCACAGCCGCCCGCTTCTGAGCCCGGTCACAGTGCTTGCTCCAGGTGTGGTCATGTGACCCAAGCAGGGCCAGTCCAGGGTTGTCCTAACTGGAGCTGGTGGGAAGGTTGCTTTTCCTCCTCTCCAGTATCCAGCGCTACCTGTGCCCCAGATATTGAGGCCAGTGAGCAGAGGGGAGCATAAATGTGAGATGGAATGGAGGAGAGAGGTGGGGGTGGGAGAGAGACTAGTGCTGCATTCTGAGCCCAGAGCCTTCCAGTCCCTGGATCAGCTCAGGCTCTCCCTTCTTCATCATAGCTACCCAAGTGAGTAACCTCCCCGCCGCCCCTGCCCCCATTCTACCCCAATAAGATCAACTTTGGCTTCTGTGTGGCCCAAAGCATCCCAATTCCAGACTTGGGAACTGTTTCCCTCTTCGTGGATTGTGTGGCACTGAAAGGGGTAGGCTATCCTCAGACTCATCCTCCCCTAGGTGTGCCTGCTGGACTTGAGAATACAAGAATCCCTAGACACGTCCATGTGCCCCTCCCAATCAATTTCCCACGGAATCAGAGCTAAAGACTGCCCCCACCCCCCGTTCCTGCTTGTCTCCATCTCCCAGACCCCATCCCCACACACCCCTCATCTCCCACCCTGCTCTCCACCATGGACAGAGCACAAAGCTGGTCCTGGCCTCTGCTCTGCTGCCTCCCCCCCGCCCCCGTGTTGTATTTGTAATGACTCGTTTATGAGTGCTCCCCCATGAGTGAGAACCGTGAGCATGGGGGCTCGGGTCTCACTCATCTTTGCACCCCCAGCCACTGGCACACAGCAGGCAGGCAGCAAGCATGGGAAGGAGGGAGGCAGGGAAGAAAGATGGAGGGGAGAAAAGGGTGCTCATTCCTATTTATTCTGGTCCAACCAGTGGGTGACTCGGAAAGTCAGTCAAGTTTTGTGTTGGTTTCCTCTACTCCAGTGTCACCTTCTGGGAAAAGTGTATTCTCCCAGTCCCCTTCCCTTTTCTATGCGTTCTTATCCTCTTTAGCACCTTCTACTACTATCAGTTCTTCCCTATGCTCCGTTTATTTTACTAACTTCTCACTGAAATGCCACTTCCAGGGGGGCAGGCATCTTTGTTTTGTTCTCTGCTGTATCCTCAGCACCTAGAACTCTACCTGTCACCTAGTAGATGCTCAATAAATATCTTTGGAACGAATGAATGAATTCTTTGTGTTCACCAAAGCCACGGGTTTAGCAAGCTTGTCTCTTAAAAGAGCCAGGCACGTCATGCATTTTACAGGTGTTAAGTCGGTCATGTATTCATTTCCCAGGGCGGCCATAACACCTGACAGCTAAACCTGGTTTGAACATGGTTTGAACTGCGCAGGTCCACTTATACATTTTTTTTCCCAGTAAGTATCTGTACTGTTTTCAATCTGTGGTTGGGCATCCACAGATGAAGAGGACCGACTGTATGCATTGCTCTACGCCAGTGGTTCTCAACCTTCCTAATGCCGCGAGCCTTTAATACAGTTCCTCATGTTGTGGTGACCCCCCAACCATAAAATTATTTTCGATGCTACTTCATAACGGTAATTTTGCTACTGGTATGAATCGTAATGTAAATATCTGACATGCAGGATGTATTTTCATTGTTCGCTACCCACAGGTTGAGAACCACTGCTCTACACCGTTTGATACAAAGAACTTGAACAACTATAGATTTTGGTATCCATAGGGGACCCTGGAACCAGTGCCCATGGATACTGAGGGACAACTAACTTTTGGGGAGTCAAAAGTTAAACATGGATTTTTGACTGTGCGGGAGGTCCCACCCGTAACCCCTGCATTGTTCAAGTGCCAATTGTACTACAAACTAAGTGGCTTAAAACAACAGAAATTTGTTATTTCACAGTTCTGAAGGCTAGAGATCCAAAATTTGGCAGGGCTATGCTCTCCCTACCCCCACAACCCCCACCTCCCACCCAGGTGCTCCGGGAAAATCCGTTCCTTGCCTCGTCTACCTTCTGGTAGCTCTGATATTCTTTGAGTTGTGACCACATCACTCCAGTCTCTGCCTGTCTTATCCATTTTCCTCTCTGTGTCTGTCTCTGCTTCTGTCTTACAAGGGTGCGTGTGAGATGCATTTAGCGCCCATCTGGATAATACAGGATCAACAACTCCTCTCAAGATCCTTAACTTAGTCACGTCTTTGCCATATTACCACAGTAGGTAACATTCACAGGTTCCCGGGATTAGGAAGTGGACATATCTTAGCTCTCTGGGACCACCGTTCAGCCCACTACTGGTTATTTGCAAAGAGCAGAAAAAGCAAAGATTCCACCACTCCACTGGCCTGACAGACACGTAATGAAAAGAGTATTATTGTTGTATTATGTTGCTCCAATCAGAGTGTGAACATGATTTTCAGAGCACCATTTTGTTTTTTAATTATCCCAATTAAAAGAAATCATAGCAGGCTTATGATAAACATAGTACGGAAGAGTATATGTGGGAAATAAAGGAGCCCCTTTGCAATTTTTCTTGAACTCCAGTTGCATTTTCTACAAAGTAACCACTGTAGGCAGTTTACATAATCTTCACAAATTTGCTAAGTATATTCAAGTGCACACACTTTTTCTTTTTTAAAATATGTTTTTATTGATTTTAGAAAGGAAGGGAGAGAGAGAACTATACATCAATGATAAGAGAGAATCATCGATTGGCTGCCTGCTGCACACCCCACACTGGGGATCAAGCCCGCAATCCAGGCATGTGCCCTGACCGGGAATCAAACTGTGACCCTCTGGTTCATGGGTTGACGCCCAACCACTCAGCCAGGCCAGCCAGGCTGCATACACTTTTTTGCTCATAACATCAAGATAACCGGGGGTGTTACAATATATTCTGAAGATAGGACAGCCCTCTGACCCACCTCATTCTTTCTAGTGACTTCTAGCATTGCATCTACTTAACTGTCCCACACGGGCCAACATTTTCATTAACTCTAGGATTTTGTTGTTGAAAACTATATGCTCTTTGGCATGTGTTGAGTGTACTCATAGGATACATTCCCAGAAGTGGATCTCTCTCTCTCTCTCTCTCTCTCTCTCTCTCTCTCAAATCAATAAAAACATACTCTCAGGAGAGGATTTTAGAGAGAGAGAGAGAGAGAGAGAGAGAGAGAAAGAGAGACATCAGCTGGCTACCTCCAGCAGGGCCCCCATCAGAGGACAGGGAGCCAACCCAGGCATGCACCCTTGACCAGGAATTGAACCTGCGACCCTTGGAGCACAGCTGATGCTCTAACCACTGAACACACTGGCCTGGGCAAGAAGTGGAACTTCCCTCAATCAAAGGATATGTGCATTTTAATTTCTACAGCTACGGCCCAGTGCCCTTCAAAAAGCTGGTATCATCCCCACACCCGTAAACAGTGTGTGTGAGGATGGCAAGGACCCCGTGTGCCAGGGGAAGCAAATCCAAATGGGGTAAGTACACGTTCCATGCCAGCCTGGATGGGGGTGGACCCGGCCTCTGAGGTCATCCCTGGAGCTTTCTGAGGCAGTAAGTGTTCGGAGTTCTTGCTAGCTTGGGTTTTATAAACAAAGGCAGAGTATGGGGAGGTGAGCCAGGCCTGTGCAGCGAGAAGCATTGTGTAATCCAGTATTTATATCTTCAGTAGAGTTAGAACTTAAATATGGACAAAACATATTTTTCTGTTAATTTACACAAACAAATATGTTCCCGGGCCCAACACCTCTGGTGCCAAGTTTCTAGGGGAAATGAAATTCAACTGTGAGATTATAAACCGCTAGGGAGACGACGAGAATGGAAAAGCCGCGGCAAGTTAGCTTTCCGCATCCAGATCTGGGCTGCTGAGCGGTGTCGCTTTCTGTCTTCGTTGCAGATAAACCTGCCAGTAATTTCAGCGAATGAAACGCAGATCCTGGAAAGGCCAGAGGATGGAAAACGCTCCAGTTTTGATAAAAGGAGGCCTGCTCTGCCTCCAGTCCTCCCTCCTGCTGGTCAGGAGGCGCAAAGAGGAGCTGATGAATTGAGGGAGAAGAAACCAGGCCAGTGTGAGTCGCCTTTCAAGGGCTGTGCTGATATACAAGCCCAACATCCTGACACTGGTCCAAGAGGGGATTAAAGCAACATGCTATTGTGAGTGATTGCTTAATTTATGGAGCTGTGGCAAGATCTGTAATGAAACACAGCCCTTGCAACTGATAACCTCCGGCTGCAATTGAACTTGACAATTAAGGAATATTTTCCAAGGATTTTTCTGGAACAGCTTAGAATTTTTTGCCTCTGTGGTGGGGTGCTTCTGAGCACTCATTTTGCCAGGCAAGCTTTTTTCTTTTCTTTTTTTAGGAATGAAAGGCTGATGTCAATAGGAAATAAGCATCACTTTTTTGACTGCCTTGTGCACACCAGGCACTTATTACACTTTATCTCTAATCCTGACAACGGCCCAACGAAGGAACTCTTATTCGTCCCTATTTTACAGGTAGGAGGTTTCTAGGTGTTCAGTAACTTCCCCAAGTGACATTGTCCAAGTCTGGGGCTACTAGCCATTGGTGGCTATTTACGCCTAAATTAATTAAAATTTTAAAAATCAAAGAAATTCACTTCCTAGGTTGCACTAGTAGCTAGCGCAGGTGCCCACTCCCCAGGTGTGGCTGGTGGGTACCACACTGGACAGCTCAGATACGGACCATTTCGATGACTGTGGAAAGTTCTCGTGATCAGTGCTGTCCCAGAATGTTCACAGGTAGAAGTCCAACCCCTTGTTTCAAAATTCTACCGTTACCCCTTGCTTCTTGCTTCTCTTCCTGGGGCTGAGAAGTAAGGACTAGAGCTGTGAGACTAAACCCTGGCTGCACATTCACGTTACCTGGGCTGCTTTAAAAAATATTGATGATACGGTCCCAGCCCTGGAGATTCTGACTTTACTGTGATCGGGGGGTGGGGAGGTGGGGAGACAAGCATGAGGGGCTCTTTAATTCCCCATGTGTACAGCCAGGATTGAGAGCAGCCAGGAGAGTGGGTCCACACACAGTAAGGTGGGAAGAACTGGCTCATCTCCCAGCAGAATGGGGTCGCTGTGGACCCAGAAGTGGGCTTCCCCCAGGCCTGCATCTGATATGAGGTTTCTAGGTGTTCAGTAACTTCCATTGGACGGCCCGGGGTCCTTCCTGCAGGCAGGGAAGACTTGAGTGCTTTCTCACACGTGTCCCGCTCAGTGGAGACATGGTGAGGAGCTCTGCTTTCAGGAACAGGCCCTGTCACGCCACCACGGAAGAAAGGAGATGGGATGCGCGACCACAGGGACAAAGTGGGGTCTGCAGCCCCACCTTTGGAGTGGGAGCCTCGGGACGAGCCCATGCTGTAATCTGCCTGACAGAATAAAAGTGTTTCCCAGCTCTGTCAACAAAGACATTGCAAGGGAAGAAAAAGGGAGGGAGTGAGAACCTGCAGATTGAGAGAGACGTAAGAGACACATCAACCAATCCCAATGGATGGAAAGGGTTAGAAATACTGACCAATCCCGTCACAGTGAGCACCGCCAGCACTCAGATTAGGGTCTCTACGCACCACCTCTGACGAGAAACCGGGGTTCTGTGCAGAGACAGCCGATCCCTGGTCTGAGGCAGGACGTGTGCAAGAGGAGCCTGGAACGTCCTGTCACCAGGGAGCGTGGAAGCTCTGGGAGGCTCTGGATCATGCCCGGAAAGATGAAGGGGACAATGTGATAGGACAGCTGGCCAGATGGGACAGTGGAGCATCAATAAGAACAGTAACTGCACTGGACTGGAATGTGTTAGATATGTCCAATCTAAGAGTTCACAACGATACCTAGAAAAAAAAGCATAAACTCATTTGTCATCTTTGGGGGATGTTGAGAAACCAACTCATCATGTTGAAAATTGTGAAATAAAAGGAAAGAGTCAAGTATTTTTTCTTTCTGGTATGAATCGTACCTTACAGTAACCAAACAGCTGATAAAGGAAGTGTCTTTTTACGGAGGTATTCCAGCTAACACACAAACACAGAAGGATAGGATTTATTTGCCACTATTTTGCAACCTCTAATGGGTCCAGACAGTGATCATCGATGCTGCTAACATCACCAGACATTCTGTGCCTTCAAATGGAAATCCAACACAGCCACTAGGAAATCATCATAAACACACACATACACACACAAGCATTAATCTAAGTAGCTTCTAGATCTAATTACTGATTTACAAGAAATATACAGGGGAGAGGAACATGTATAATACCAATATGGTGATGCAATAGGCAAAGTCCAGACTGTAGGACACTCTACAGACAAACCAACCCAGCTTCTCAACAAAGACATTGCAAGGGAAGAAAAGGAGGGAGAGAGAACCCGCAGATTGAGAGAGATGTAACAGACACATCAACCAATCCCAATCCCAGTGGAAGGAACTTGTATGGGTCCCAATTTTATCCAACTGTAAAGAAAACATTTATGAAACAACCAAAGAATTTTGAACACTGAGTAGATATTTGCTGATATTAAAGCATTACTGTTAGTTTTAGTAGGGGTTATGATGGGACAAACCCCACTCCTCTTTTGGAGTCATATACGAAAATATTCGCAAAAGAAATGATTTCTGTCTGAATTTTGCTTCTAAATATCTGAGATGAAAGAGGAGGAGAACGGGTATAGATGGAGTAAGACTGGCTGAGAGTTGGTGGTTGTTGAAGCTGGGAGATGGGTAGTTGGGGTTCTTTGTACCACATTGCTCTTGTGTCTGCTTAAAGTGTTTCATAATAAAAGTAAATTTAAAAGTGAAGAACAGATTTTTCCTTCCCTTCACTCAAGGGTATTGGGTTGGTCTGCCCACCCGCTGGTGGCATCTCTGGGGCAAACCTGGGTAGCAGATTTGAAATACATCTTAGCATGCGTGTGTGCACATGCACGCACACTCAGACACACACACACCCCTCCTCCTGTCTCCATGGCAACCAGTTAGGTGAGACAGCACCATCCCAGAGGTTCCTGTCCTCATGAGGATCAGGCCAGGCTTCCAGTCTCGTGCCAGGCCCACCATAGCTCCCTTTAGTCCTAGTCAGACCTTCACCAGGGGCACCCCCATCCGATCTGCCTCCTGGCACCCCCTCCCCATTAGCCTTGCCCTCCCTGTGCACCCCCTGAGGAAACAGAGGTCCATTATTGGAAAGCACAGGACCCCAAATTGGATTTAGCTTCAAATTCTGACTTCCCACTGAAAAGCAGACATTTAACCATCCTGAGCCTCATTTTTTTCATCTGTAAAATAGGCATAATGTGACCTCAACTAACTCAATACATATTATTGGGGGGGCGGGAGGGATGGCAAAAAGGACCTAGTCTCCACCACATGGAACTAGACATTCAGAGGTGAAAGGCAATCTTAACAGACTACAGTATAAGTGCCATGAAAGGCACATGTTATAAAATTTGAGATGTAAGGGTGCTTAGTCACATCCTAATTTTTTGAAAACTGGCAGTCACTACATAGGAAATACCATACCTCTCAATCATACTTTTCATTAACCAGAGTATCCATACTTCCAACTACTGAGTATCCAGCTATGCAAACACACGGAACAATTTCACTTCACTTAGCACGTACATTTCCACGCGGGAGGCACTATTATTCCCATTTTGTGGGGGAGGAAAGGAAGCACAGAGAGGCAAGGACCTTGCCCAAGGCTATCCCGTGGGTACAGGGCCCTGTCTTCTGCGATTGGCCTTCGGCATTAAGCTTTGAAATGCAGCCACAGGGGCAGGAAATCAGAAAAGCTAGGAGACCAACAAGCTCTCCAGGTCAAATTCCATTTTACAAATGAGGAAATAGTGGCCCAGAGAGGCCAAGCAACTTATCCTGGGCCCCACAGGGAATTAGCCGCCCCGCCTGTATCCAGCCTGCTGGAGGAGAAGGTGAGGGGAGGCCCCATGCATGAGGGAAGCTGACTCTCACTGCCCCATGTAACCCTGTCCAGGCTGTCCTGGGACCGGACACTTAGATACTCAAACCAGGAGAGTCCTGGGCTAACCAGGATGAGCTGGTCACGCTGTCTCCTAGTGAGGGGTCTAAATGGACGTTTTCCAGAACGCGGCCCTGGGATGGAGCTGGCTGGGGAGAACCTCTCAGGCCCCGTAGAAGTGCTGGGCTTCACACCTGTGCCCCTGGGGTACCACCCACATGTCAGCCCAGGGGCCTCTGGAATGGCCCATCACCCAGCATCCTTCCTTACACCTCTCCAATCTGCCCCCACCCCGCCCCAACAGCCAGAGTGCTCTTCCTGAACTGTAAACCTACTGGCCCCGTACCCCAGTCTACAAGTCCAACTAGTGTCTCATTTCTCCCATGGCTTTAGGACAAACTCTCCCTTTCGCAGGCCTGAGGCCCCCTGGGGGGCCTTGTCCAGTCCCGCTGTGCAGCCTCCCTCTTGAACCCACCCTACCACTACGATATCCCAAGCAGGACCCAGACAGCCAGAGACCTAACCATACCTCCCCGCCTTACACACATACCTTTTCCCACCACCCGACCCTTTCTTCCCACAGGACCAGCACAGTCGTAATCACATAGCTATTTGTATATTTAACGGATTATTAATATCTAGTCTCTCCCACCCCTGGCTAGACTGTCAGCCCACAGGGACGGGTATGTGATATTCACTTCAGTTTCACAGCCCCTGACTCAGTGGTGACACATGAATGGTGCTCAGTCAACAGTCATCAGGCCTGGCGGGGTGGCTCAGTTGGTTGGAGCATCGCCCTGTACAACAAAAATGGATGTGGGTTCAATCCTTGGTTGGAGCAAATACCTAGGTTGCAGGTTTGATCCCCAGTCAGGGCACCTACGGGAGGCAATTGATCAATGTTTCTTTCTCACATCAATGTCTCTCTCTCTCCTCTTCCCCCCTTCCTCTCTCTCTAAAATCAATAAAAATATATCCTCGGGTGCAGATTAAAAAAATAAACAGTCATCAGATGGACCAATCAGTGCCATCGTCACATCCAACCAGGCCTCCAGCTGAAATTACAGAGCCTGTATAGCCACCCTGGCCTCCAGCCCCATGCCAGACAGCCTGGGATCCATCACATGACAGAAAATGATCCCAGAAAAAGACTGGCCAAGGGCTCCAGGAAGGGGCGATGGCAGCCAGGAGCGCCATGCTTTTTCTTTCATTATTATCCCTGTCTATACACGCTTTCTTGGCTCTGTTCACATTCCTACTCCAGCACCAGCTCAGGAAAAAACAAAACATTAGCTGCAGGGTTTGAGACAAGATAGCGGGCTGGTTCCTTCTCTGCTTGTAATCAACGCTGAAAATGTTCACGACTTGCTTTGGCCGCAAAGGTAATAAGAAAACGGCGCAGCCTGATTATCTGGCTACTAATTACCTCCTCGCTTTTTCTTCCCCTTTCCTGAAATTAATTCCAGAGTTCCCCCACATTTCTCGTTGCTAAGCTATAAAGTTCCAGCTTCCACAGCGCCCATGCCAATTGGCAGGGAGCTCCCAGCCGCTCCAATCACAGGCAGATGCTGAAAAGAGCATCCACATCGCAGCTCGCCCTGGGGGGTTCTGGAATGTTCTCGCTGACGTTATGAACCGCAAAGATCTTTGTCTAAGTCTGAAAAACCTGTTTTCTCAGTCTTGTCTGCCTCTCTCTGGATCGCAGGCTGCCTGAGAATGCCAGGGGTCCTGCAAGGTCCCCGGGAACAACAGGGTGTTCCTGGGTTGCCTGGGTGGGGTAAGTGCCAGAGCAGCCCTGGACCCACTCATGGTTGACTAGACTACAGCAGGGTGGCCTGCCATGGGCGTGAGGGGAGCCACTGCCCCCTGAACTAAGCTTGGTGAAAGACTGCAGGAGGCTGAAGGAAAGTGGACGCCAAAGAATATGGAGTTGCTGGGGTGGAGGCCACGTTTGCAAAGGACTTTAAAACACGTGGATGGAGGGCCATCCTCATGTCCACAGCCAGGATCCTAATGCAAACAGCCACCAGGAACTGAGCACCTGCTGTGCACCGGAAACATAATTTTTATTTTTTAGATCACTTTATTGAAGCATGGTTGACTTCCAAAATTGTACATATTTAATGTACACAACTTGATAAATTTGGAGATAAGCCTACACCCGTGAAGCTATCACCAAAATTTATGCCATAAATATCACCTCCAGAAGTTCCCTACTGCCCTCTTTATTAATCTTACTAGAGGCCCGGTGCACGAAATTTG